AGCCATTTTGGACCCAACTCGGCTCCAACTTTGCAATCTTTCAATGGGTTTGGTTCTGTTGTATTCGACCGTGTTCTTCTGCAAGTTGACACTGTTAGTTGTTGTACTGGAGAATCTCGGAGATGTGGAATATCAGATAAACATTTTTTTCTGGAAGGCAGGCGGTAAAGAACACGGCAAATACCTGCGTTATTTTCTGGTTGCAAAACACAGCAAAGTGCTTGTGAATGGCGCATGAGCTTGTATATGTTCGCTCTTTTGCACTTTCTAATCTAAAAACATAAAGGCACTGTCAATACATGAAACTACCAGCATGCCGTTTTTTTTCTTGGCCGTGCAAGTTCTGTGGCATCTGCAGCAATGTGTTGGCTCCGCCGGGGGGGTTTGCCCGGCTTGGAACAAGGCTGACTGTGACTACATGTGATGAGTATCCGCAGCCGTTTGTTGTTCTTGTAGTCATGGTGTTGATTTTACTGTGTTTTTTCATATAAAATGTGGTTGTTCACAAGTAGACTTCATATCATGTTTTCAGATGCAATTGATCATTGAATGTTTTGACAATGTCCAAACTTGAGTTTTTTTCGCCAAATCTGGCGGAAAAATCAACAATAACCTGTAATTTACAGTGTTTCCATTTGACACGATTTGCATACATATATAGACAGACATGAAGTATACATACATATATATGTATATATCACATACACCAGAAGTAAACAGAAAGAGTCAGACAGAAAGGAGACACATGGCAAGAAGAAATACATTGAACGCAATCAAGATGAGGAAACGATGGACAATCAAACATGACACTGCGATTGCGTGATACGTTTGCACATGACACACCAGCAGCGTACCATGTGTACACATGAACACACCAGCAGCGTACCATGTGTACACATCAACACACCAGCAGCGTACCATGTGTACACATCAACACACCAGCAGCGTACCATGTGTACACATGAACACCAACGTTGACACACCCCACCCCACCCCACGTACTATGTGTACACATCAACACACCAGCAGCGTACCATGTGTACACATGAACACACCAGCAGCGCACCATGTGTACACATCAACACACCAGCAGCGTACCATGTGTACACATCAACACACCAGCAGCGTACCATGTGTACACATCAACGCACCAGCAGCGTACCATGTGTACACATGAACACCAACGTTGACACACCCCACCCCACCCCACGTACCATGTGTACACATCAACACACCAGCAGCGTACCATGTGTACACATGAACACACCAGCAGGGCACCATGTGTACACATCAACACACCAGCAGCGTACCATGCGTACACATCAACACACCAGCAGCGTACCATGTGTACACATCAAACGTTAACACACCCCACCCCACCCCACCCCACCACACCCCACCCCAACCCCCCCCCACCCCCACGTACCATGTGTACACATCAACACACCAGCAGCGTACCATGTGTACACATGAACACCAACGTTGACACACCCCACCCCACCCCACCCCACCCCACATGTTAAAATTCCGGGCAAACCCCCCCGGTAGACCCAATGTGTGTTGTTGCCATGAAATTGGAAGGCAGTCCCATTGGTGCGCAATGATACAAGATGCAGATTCATCTGGGAAATTTCATCTTGGAGATTACCGTGCATAGAAGGTTTCATCTTGCAGAAATTTGCAGAATAAAGAAAGGCATAGTGCCAAAGGACTGGCAAATACGTTTCTTCCTTCTGAAAAGGCTAGTTGCGTGTAAGCGCGACATGGAAACTTGTACTTCCGCTACTTTCTTACCATTCCCGTGTCCAGGTCGACCCTCAACAATGGCACCGAGTCTCTCCAACTGAATGTGATACACCAGCACCCTGGTGCCAAACACACCATCCACATCATCCACATCCCGCCTGTGCAAGTGGTTTGCTGGCGCTGCTTGCCACCGCGCTGTTCGCCTTGTACAGCTGCGATGGCTGACCCTGACGTATCACTCTGATAAACTAATGAATGAGAGAGACATGCAATCAGGTGGGAAAATGTAGAAATTTGCGTGGGAAAATAAGTCCCTTATCTATCAACAGACCTTCAAATTCTTGAATTGGAGAGGGTCCACTTCGAAGGCAAGAGCCATCAATTTTGGAAGGTCCTGCTGCCCTGCCCTTAAGAATTACCCAAAGAGTACTGTATTGACCTGGGGTTGACATCGGCACTTTGGGGCAGATGGGCCGCTGGCTGCTGATCTGGAGACACAGCTCAAGAAGCTCAATCCCCATGTATTGTTGTTTTATGGATCCTTGGTCTGTGTGGATCTTGTCCAAACGACATGATTTATCCCACATCAGCAGTGGTTCCCAGACATGGCTTATAAAGCCAAGCGTTTACAAGAAATTCTCAAAAAATCTGGATGGTTTTGATGCAGATTTTCTTCGCAACTTGCAACAATGATGTGTTCACTCGTCCAACCCACAATAATAATACAGTATACTATATTTGGCGATCAAAAGATATTTACCACACCACTTTTGAATGCCTGAAACTGGGATGACCTTTACGAAATCGGCGACGCCAAGCGTCGCGAAGCTTGGGCGTGCTCGACGGAGCCGAAACAAAGGTCGCGCCAGTGAAAAGAGCCGCACCTCGATTTTCATCGTTTTTCACCGTGCGGCAGTGAGGCGAGTACAACCATTGAAACTGATGGTAAGTGAAAAATATCAACACTTTAGCGATTCCCCCTGTAAGATATTTTTTTGTGGGATTCGTGAGCTTGAGTTATTGCAATAACTTTGCTTCTTATCTACTTATCAAGTGGGATGATACATAACTATGTTTAATCCATATATAGAGAGAGAGAGAGCTAAAGATATTCCAGATATCACTGGGTAATAATTTGGTTCTTGCCCAGTTACGACATAAGTTCAACAACGGATTAGTACACTTTCTTGATTAATGAGGGAGTGTTCCCCTCAAAAAAGTGACACATAGATTCCTCTTGCACTTGGTACCTCCCATTAGTAAACTCTGGTTTCTTGAATCTGGGTTAACATTATCTGGAATGCACGTCAATGACAAGTGGTAAATCCTAAAGCGTAGACATCATGAGCCATCCCTAATATTACCATAAATGGGATCCAAAACATCCCTAAATGTTTGTTATAGCTGTTCATTGTTATTATTTGGTTAATCGGTTAATCACATTACTGTACATCACATCAATTATAAATTTTCATCAACTCTAGGTGGGATATTCTTCTTCTCCCACTTGCGTTGCTCCGAACCGGCGCCTGTGGCGCCTGCGGCCAGGGCGGAAACTCGGCTGGTGGAAGCCATTGTCTATTACCTCGGTGTAGCAACATCAGCTGGTGCCGTGTGGGGGGAAAGTTTGAAAAGTCCCTTGAAATACCATCATTGTTGCTGTGTGATGCTCTTGAGGATCCTCAAAATGGGTCAAATAGATCTATTTGTTGGTGGGCGTCCATGGCTAGCCTTGGCTTCTGGATATCTTGAACAAAAGGATTGTCTTTACATGGGTAGTGCCAAATTCTGTCCAGGGGGGGCATTTTGGGGACAACTTTCATGCCACAAGCGCAGGAGCAAGGAAGATCAAGGAAGAACATCATGTCACGGATGGAACTTGGAGTAACTTGGGGATTGCAGCAGTACCAGGTCTAAGGGACATCAAAATGCCACAGGTTGCTTTAACCCTCAAACTAGGTACACGCTTGATAGACGGCCGTGGCACGAAATGGGATTTTCAGCAAAAAACTCAATGTTTTTTGAGGTTCCTCATTTTGCATTGTTCCAAACTACTGCGAAGCAGCACTTCATAGCCTTTTTTTCCTCATTGTTTCAAAAGTTGTTTCAGCTCTTCTAAGAAGGCAATGGGGGTGATAGGCCCTAGACTTTGTCTAAAGACCCATTGGTTCACCATCGCTTTGACGTCGTCTGACATCATGTATGTGAGGAAGTGCAAGACGACATGAAGTAGCGTAGCATCATATATGTGAGGAAGTGCAAGATGACATACAGCAGCGTAGCATCATGTATGTGAGGAAGTGCAAGACGACATGAAGAAGCGTAGCATCATATATGTGAGGAAGTGCAAGATGACATACAGTAGCGTAGCATCATATATGTGAGGAAATGCAAATGAACGTTATTACCCCACCCCACCCCACCCCACCCCACCCCACACAATAACGTAGCATCATATATGTGAGGAAGTGCAAATGAACGTTATTATCCCACCCCACCCCACCCCAATGAGCAAAAAAGCAACAAAAGTACGCGGCCGTCTACCAAGCGTGTGCCAACTACAGGAGGTTCCTGGCAACTCAGGGCGACTTGAGATGCTCAACCTGTTGACATTGTGATTTCCACGGGTAGACATGGTCTGACCACTGCATGAACACTCGAACCAGCTCACAACTTCAAATCTTTTTGTGGGTAGCAAAAAAACAATAGTCATAATGATAGTAATTGTAAGCTCAACAGACTTGTCTCTTAAAGCATATGATACTCCTCACCTGCACCCAGTTGTTTCAATGCAACTGCAAACAAGCAACTGAACTATGCCAAAAAAAAAGGAATCGGCCAAAAATGGGAGCAGCTTTTGCTCACACAGCCAATGCTAAAAACAGATATCTCGAGCCATCGGTTGCGCCAGTTTTTTGCAGTTGTGATGTTAAACTGATCAACAAGCTACAAGCACTGTCAGCAATCAAAGAATATGCCATCCATTGTACCATGCACAGCAAAACAACTTTCTGAAGCGAAATGCATCATTATCATCATTGTTCCAAGTCAAATCACTTCATCGAGTCAAAAAGGTTGACCAATCCATGATTCGCCACCTTCCAGGCCTACCTTGACCACCCGTTTTGCAAAGTGGTGACTTAGTGCAGTCACTCCCACAGATGGCATCTCGTTCCATGAATGACCAGTTCCAACAGTGGATCAACAGGCCCTTTTCTCTACGGTTCAGCAGGTCCGATCCAAGATGGTGGCACCTAAGCGGACTCGGCGCGCAAAGGAGATGCTGTGTAGTTGGCCCAGTCTCCCCAGGCGCTTCCGGTCAGACCATCCTGGGACATGGAAGTTATGGCAGAGATCAAAAGCACAGGGTGGCAGCATCGAGATTGCTCATAATTCTAGAAAAAACGTGGTATGATTCTGATATGAAATGATATGACATGATATGGCATGATATAAAATGAAGTGATATGATATGTTATGGCGCGATATGATACGTAATTGCAAACAATGTGTATATACAATTTGCTTATATAATAAACAAAATGAAAAGTATCGAATCTGAAAATATCATGTCTTTGTGCATGATTCGAAGGCATTATATCAATTGTACAATCTGTGCATGTCACATCATGAACCTATTCATGCCCGGCACATTCTACAACCCCTTATTGGCAAGCATATGTGTAAGTTGTAACAGCAAGAACAATATCAAACAATCAAACATGCGTTGTGCTGAAAACGTGGATGGCAAGAAATAATCTTCATAAACTCAGAACACGCCATGCCAATTGACACAGAATTGTGTTTCTTTCTTCAATGATGTTGATTCTGTTGTGCTGATGCTCTACATTCTTGCACTCTTTCAGCCACACTCTTTGTGGTGCTTCTTTTCTTGCTGAGGTGTAAGAAACAATATGCGTGCGCACACAACCCCTATCCCCGCCTGGAAAAACATGCCGATGATGGCCATCATCGCAAGTCTTCCGTTAGCGATTTCGGCATTAAGCTTTTTGGTTTTCTCAGCCGGGTCAGAAGAGGTCAACACCTTGAATCCAAAGTCTCCAGCATACGCATCAGTTCCTGGGGTCTGTTCCTGGGAGACCTCGCAGAAAGCCATGTAGGCCAAGATCTGACCCCATCCTCCAGGGTTGGCATATTGGGCCTCTCAACCCACATAAATCAGCAATGCAACATGTTATACTGTCATAGTTTTAGTGTAGGTTTGGAGACAATAAATTGCATATCATCATATCATAAGTACATCTATCGTGTATCCACAAACATATCAACCAGGTTTAAAGGATGATATATGAAAATAAATGTGTATGTAATATGAATATGAAAATGAATATGAATATTATCATTATCATCATTATTATCACCATCATCGTCATCATCGTCACTATCATTATCATTACTATTATTCTTAGTATTACTATCATTACTATCATTATCATTATTATTGTGGTTATTGTTATTTTCAATATTTTTATTATTGTTATTACTGGTTTTGATTTTCAGATGGATCCAGTTGTTTCAACCCTGTCCTGCGGCTGGCACCTTTGAGATGGCAGCCAAACCATTAGGCACGTCGGCAAACTTCAAACCGGCGGATGGAGATAAGTAGCCAGGGAATTTGCCAGTGATCTCCTGGGGCTTGTTTCATCGGGATGCATTCAAGAAAAAAACGCATTGCCAGTAGGTTCACCCAACTACAGTGGAATTGCAGAAATGGCCATCAACAAAAAACATGCTTTATTGATCTTTACTGAAATGATCTTAAACGATTTTAAACACAGCTTCAGCAAATCCAAGTCGCTGGGGTGATGTATCCCATGGTGGCCAACATCGAAATGCGACCATGCTTGATCTCGGTGGCGCGACGTCGCTTGAAGTCCTCCACGCTTCCGTCGGCGGTAAATCCGGCGGGATCCCAGAAACCTACGGGCGCCTGCACGCCGAGTTCATTCTCGAATGCGCGCAAAGGAGATGCTGTGTAGTTGGCCCAGTCTCCCCAGGCGCTTCCGGTCAGACCATCCTGGGACATGGAAGTTATGGAAGAGATCAAAAACACATGGTGGCAGCATCGAGATTGTTGATGATTCTATGAAAATGATGGTATGGAATTACGTGATACAATATGATATGGTATGATATGATATTATATGTTTTGATATAATATGATATGATATAAAATGAAATTATGTTATATGCTATGGTGGGATATGATATGTAATCGCCAACCATGTGTATATACAATTTGTTTAATCAACAAAATGAATAGTATCAAATTTGCAAATGTCATGTCTTTGTGCATGATTCGAAGGCATTATATCAATGGTACAATCTGTGCACGTCACATCATGAAAAACTATTCATTCCCGGCACACTCTACAAGTCACCTTACTGGCAAGCATATTTGTAAATACAACAGAAAAAAACTATATCAAACAATCAAACATGCGCTGTGCTGAAAACGTGGCTGGCAAGAAATAAACTTCAGAAACTCAGAACACGCCATGCCAATTGACACAGAATTGTGTTTCTTTCTTCAACGATGTTGATTCTGTTGTGCTGATGCTCTACATTGTTGCACTCTTTCAGCCACCCTCTTTGTGGTGCTTCTTTTCTTGTTGAGGTGTAACAAACAATATGCGTGCGCACAGAACCCCTATCCCCGCCTGGAAAAACATGCCGATGATGGCCATCATCGCAAGTCTTCCGTTAGCGATTTCGGCATTAAGCTTTTTGGTTTTCTCAGCCGGGTCAGAAGAGGTCAACACCTTGAATCCAAAGTCTCCAGCATACGCATCAGTTCCTGGGGTCTGTTCCTGGGAGACCTCGCAGAAAGCCATGTAGGCCAAGATCTGACCCCATCCTCCAGGGTTGGCATATTGGGCCTCTCAATAACCCACATAAATCAGCAAAAAAACATGTTATACTGTCATAGTTGTAGTGTAGGTTTGGAGATAATAAATTGCATATCATCATATATCAACTACGTTGGAAGGATGATATATGAAAATAAATTGAATCTGTATACAATATGATTTTATGATATTTATTCATACTGTTATTACGATTATTATTACTATTGTTATTTGTTATATATATATATATATCATTATATATAAAATATAAAATATGGATCGTGTATATATATATATATGCGGTTCTGATTTTCAGATGGATCCAGTTGTTTCAACCCTGTCCTGCGGCTGGCACCTTTGAGATGGCAGCCAAACCATTAGGCACATCGGCGAACTTCAAACCGGCGGATGGAGATAAGTAGCCAGGGAATTTGCCAGTGATCTCCTGGGGATTGTTTCATGGGATGCATTCAAGAAAAAAACACATTGCCAGTAGGTTCACCCAACTATAGTGGAATTGCAGAAATGGCCATTAACAAAAAACATGTTTTAATGATCTTTACTGAAATGATCTTACACCCCCGAAATCCAACGTGGAACTGCATGCTATTCCTGAGGTCTCCTAACATGAACCTATGGTGCGGTCTCAAGTGGATTTGTTCCCCAGGAAATCATGCAACTAACTTTTTCAATAAAATCACTCAAAAACTGACATGGAACCCAATGAAGGCCCAAACTGAACCCAAACTGCACCCTGAAACAACCAACATGGAATTTGAACAAGTTATCACAAAGCGATCTGCAACCTTGAAGGGTGATTTGAAAGTTAACCTGGAACCCAAGTGGTTTTCAAGGCGTTTTCCTTGAAAAATCCATGTTAGTGACTTTCGGGCGACCCTACTTTTCACTTCGTATTGCGCTCACGTTTTAACAACTATTCAGGTTCCAGGTCTGTGGTGAGGAAAGAACTGAAACCAAAACATCTCCAAGAAAAGGTCGTGACTTATTTTTGGATATGTGTTGGGTTCCGTGTTCGTCGGACAACCTTCCAAAGTAAGCCGCAACAGGCAGAAAACCTGACAGCGAAGAGAGAAAAAGCAAGCGACATGAAAGGATAACAAATATCAGCAAACATCAGCAAACATCAGCAAACAAAGAAAGAGATGGAAAGAGCAACAAGGAGCAAAAGAAAGACAAAATGTGGAGGTCACCATGGGAAAGGTACCGTGGGGGTCCATGTTGGCTTCCATGTTGGCTTCCATGTTGGGTTCCAGCTGCCAGGGTATGGGGGAGGTCACCATGGGAAAGATACCGTGGGGGTCCATTTTGGGTTCCATGTTGGCTTCCATGTTGGTTTCCAGCTTTCAGGGTATGGGGGAGGTCACCATGGGAAAGGTACCGTGGGGGTCCATGTTGGTTACATGTTGGGTTCCAGCTGCCAGGGTATGGGGGAGGTCACCATGGGAAAGGTACCGTGGGGGTCGATGTTGGCTTCCATGTTGGCTTCCATGTTGGCTTCCATGTTGGCTTCCATGTTGGCTTCCATGTTGGTTTCCAGCTTTCAGGGTATGGGGGAGGTCACCATGGGAAAGGTACCATGGGGGTCCATGTTGGTTTCCATGGAAAGACCGTGTTATATAGTTGGCAGTTAGTCGTTTTTTGAAAAAAAAATCAGCTAAACGTGTAGTTTTGGACATTATATTTGTATATTTATAGCTCTTCTAGATATCATATGTCAGTTTACATTGAAGCACGTTTTCAAATGTAAAAATACACATATCAAAAAAAGTATCGTATCAGCTTTCAATATCTAAAATGTTACACAAATACCCTTTTTCCCATTCACTCCCCGTCAACGTGACATTTCTCATTGGCTCATTGTAGCTTTCCCGTTTGGCTGGACTGGAGGCCCTGCCCGGAGCTTCCCCTGTTGGGTCGAAGTCCTCGAGCAAGTGTCTCCCGCTGGGTCAACGTGGAAGCTAATATGGATCCCGGTAAGCGTCCCCGTGGCTGCGGCGCCCGGAAGTCCTCGAGCCGTTGCGTCTCCGGTTGGGTCAACGTGGAACTTAACTTGGAACCCGGTAAGTGTCCCTGTGGCTTTGGCGCCCGGAGGCCCCGCCCGGAGCTTCCCCTGTTGGGTCGAAGTCCTCGAGCAAGTGTCTCCCGCTGGGTCGTGGAACCGGGAAGTGTCCCCGTGGCTTTGGCGCCCGGAGGCCCCGCCCAGAGCTTCCCCTGTTGGATCGAAGTCTTCGAGCAAGTGTCAACGTGGAATCTAACTTGGAACCCGGTAAGTGCCCCCGTGGCTGCAGCGCCCGGAGGCCCCACCCGGAGCTTCCCCTGTTGGCTCGAAGAATGTAACTTGGAACCGGTAAGTGTCCCCGGCTGCGGCGCCCAGAGGCCCCGCCCGGACCCCGCCCGGAGCTTCCCCTGTTGGGTCGAAGTCCTCGAGCAAGTGTCTCCCGCTGGCTCAACATGGAACCTAACTTGGAGCCCATTAAGTGTCCCCGTGGCTTTGGGGCCCGGAGGCTCTAGCAAATCAAAGTTGACAATGAATTTATAGTTTGAATATATGTTAGTTGTTTATTCTTTATGCTTTGAATATGTTTTCGATGTGTTGTAAGATGTGTTGAGGATATGTTGTTGTTGTTTTTCGTGTGTGTGTGTGTGTTTTCATGACATGTACTGTATCGGTTTAAATTTGTCTTCAGAATTTGTACTTTGGAATTTATCTTGGACAAAATGACTCAACCACCACAAACAGCATAATGGTTCCGAATTCCCCGTGTCAGCCGCCATGGCTAACATGGAACTTTTGGATGAGCACTCTCTGGCAGCTTGTGGGGTTCTATGTTAGTATGCCATGCAGCCAGAACTTGTGCAAAAATGTCCAAATTCACTAGCACCAACATGGCACCTACCTGGCACTTATCCCGGTCATGAATTTTAACATGGGTGCGCTAACATGGAACCCTTTAATTTTTTTTGGCCCAACGTTAGTTTTCGGGAGAGTAAACGATTTTAAACGCAGCTTCAGAAGATCCAAGTCGCTGGGGTGATGTATCCCATGGTGGCCAACATGGAAATGCGACCATGTTTGATCTCGGTGGCGCGACGTCGCTTGAAGTCCTCCACGCTTCCGTCGGCGGTAAAGCCGGCGGGATCCCAGAAACCCACGGGCGCCTGCACGCCGAGTTCATTCTCGAATGCGCGCAAAGGAGATGCTGTGTAGTTGGCCCAGTCTCCCCAGGCGCTTCCGGTCAGACCATCCTGGGACATGGAAGTTATGGCAGAGATCAAAAGCGCAGGGGGGCAGTATGGAGATTGCTGTGATTAAAAAACAAGGTGTGACATTACGTGACACAATATGATACAATATGATATGATATGACCTGATATTAAATGAAATGATATGATAGCTATGGCACGATATGATATGTAATCGCAAAGAATGTGTATATACAATTTGGTTAATAAACAAAATGAATAGTATCAAATCTGCAACAAAAGGCACGTATTTGTGCATGTTTCGAAGGCATTATATCGATGGTACAATCTGTGCATGTCACATCATGGAACCATTCATTCCCGGCACACTCTACAACTCACCTTACTGGCAAACATATCTGTAAATATAGCAGTAAGAACAATATTACACAACCAAACATGCAGTGTGCTGAAAACGTGGCTGGCAAGAAATAAACTTCAGAAACTCAGAACACACCATGCGAATTGACACAGAACTGTGCTTCTTTCTTCAACGATGTTGATTCTGTTGTGCTGGTGCTTTACATTGTTGCACTCTTTCAGCCACACTCTTTGTGGTGTTTCTTTTCTTGTAGAGCTGTAACAAACAATATGCGCACAGAACCCCATCCCCGCCTGGAAAAACTTGCCGATGATGGCCATCATCGCAAGTCTTCCGTTAGCGATTTCGGCATTAAGCTTTTTGGTTTTCTCAGCCGGGTCAGAAGCAGTCAACACCTTGAATCCAAAGTCTCCAGCATACGCAGCACTTCCTGGGGTCTGTTCCTGGGAGACCTCGCAGAAAGCCATGTAGGCCAAGATCTGACCCCATCCTCCAGGGTTGGCATATTGGGCCTTTAACAACACACATAAAGCAACATGTTATAGTGTATATTTAACCACCAACTATATATCATATCATTATCATTCTATCATTGTGCGTGCAAAAACAAATCAACCGTGCTTAACGGATGTTATATGAATGAATATGTGTATATATATATACATTTATATATATATATACATTTATATATATACATATACATTTAAATATATATATATGTGTATTAATATATACTTATATACTAAATAAAGACAATATATATATATATGGCTTTGGTTTTCAGATGGATCCAGTTGTTTCAACCCTGTCCTGCGGCTGGGACCTTTGAGATGGCAGCCAAACCATTAGGCACATCGGCGAACTTCAAACCGGCGGATGGAGATAAGTAGCCAGGAAATTTGCCAGTGATCTCCTGGGGATTGTTTCATCGGGATGCATTCAAGAAAAAAACACATTGGCAGTAGGTTCACCCGACTATAGTGGAATTGCAGAACTGGCCATTAACAAAAAACATGTTTTAATGATCTTTACTGAAATGATCTTAAACGATTTTAAACCCAGCTTCAGCAAATCCAAGTCGCTGGGGTGATGTATCCCATGGTGGCCAACATCGAAATGCGACCATGTTTGATCTCGGTGGCGCGACGTCGCTTGAAGTCCTCCACGCTTCCGTCGGCGGTAAAGCCGGCAGGATCCCAGAAACCCACGGGCGCCTGCACGCCAAGTTCATTCTCGAATGCGCGCAAAGGAGATGCTGTGTAGTTGGCCCAGTCTCCCCAGGCGCTTCCGGTCAGACC